GAAAAATGCAAAATGTATAATTAAATATGCTCTCAGTTATCATACACATACACACATACACAGATGCTCTGGTAGATTGCAAAAATGCCCACCATTCTTCACTCCTCCTGGTTTCTTCATTCTTTGCAATATGACTTCTCAGCTCCTCCCATCAAGAAGTGAAGCTTATTAATTAGTACAGAATGCCTGCCTTGAGCACTGTGCTCTTCTAAAGAACTATCTATATGAGACCAAACTGACAACAGCACTTGAAAGTCAGATAGGAAGCTTAGTGGGGCAGTAAGTTTATGTTAATGGAGGAGGAACAATTCAGAAAAGGAGAGTGAGAATGGCTGCACAACTCAAAGAATGTAATCAGTGTCAGGGAACTCTACATGTAGAAATTGCTGAATTGGTTATGTTCTGCTGTGCATATTTTCAACAACAACAAATAAAATGAAATAAATTATTTTTTAAAAAAGAAAGAAGTGAAGCCTATTTCCCCACACCTTCAATCTGGGTGAGATTTGTGGCTTGGCTTGCTTTAGCGAAAAGAATACCACAGAAGTAATATATGACAATGCTAAGCCCTTTCCTCAAGAGGCCTTGCACACTTCTGCTTTCTCTCCAGAGCCCTACACTCTGTCACGTGAACAAATTCAAGTTATCCTACTGGCAGATGAGAGATCACATTGACCAGAGGTGAGGCCCTAGACTTGTAAAAGGAGCCAGCCAAGATCAGTAAAGCTATTCCGCAGCTGATTACAATGCATGAGGCAGCCCAACCTGGAACAGAATAACCAACCAGCTGAGCTAGCTTAAATTGGTGACCTGAACAATCATGAGCTAAATAGTCATTCTTTTAAATCCCTAAGTTTTGGGATAGTGTGTCACACACAGAGATGCCTAGAAAAAGGAATACTGGAAGAAAATATACTAAAATGTTAGCAGTGTATGACAGGGAAATGGGATTATTTATTATTTTAATACTAATTAAAAGCACTAAATATCTTCTTTCCAATGATACTATGCTGCCTTCAATCATGTGTGGGCTTGGAAATTAAACAGGATCATACTGCAAAGCTTTC